CTGAACATTGTTTCTGACCATGTCCATCCCTTTATGGCCTCCATTTACCCATCCTCTGATGGCTACTTCCAGCAGGATAATGTACCATGTGACAAAGCTCGAATCATTTCAAATTGGTTTCTTGAACATGACAATGAGTTCACAGTACTAAAATGGCCCCCAAAGTCACCAGATCACAACCCAATAGAGCATCTTTGGGATGTGGTGGAACGGGAGCTTCATGCCCTGGATGTGCATCCCACAACTGAAAGATGCTATCCCATCAATATGGGCCAACATTTCTAAAGAATGCTTTCAGCACCTTGTTGAATCAATCCCATGTAGAATTAAGGCAGTTCTGAAGGCGAAAGGGGGTCAAACACAGTATTAGTATGCTGTTCCTAATAATCCTTTAGGTGAGTGTATATACTGTATATGCAGGCAGATTCTGGAAGAAGGAAAGAGGACAGATTTTATCACCATTTAAGTGACGAGACGACACAACACAAATACAATATATATTGACTATATATGAAAATATATGGCAATACCAGCCTTGAGGAGAACATGCAAGGTTGGCGCAAAACTAATGTATGTATGTATGTCGCACATCTTTTTATTCAATGGACAAGTGCTTCTTAGACCCACATTCTGCGGGCAATTTTGAGATCAATCTTAGCATGGTTAAATCATTCATGAAGACAGGATGTGGGTATGACAGGCAGGGACGTGCAGGACGAACATATATTTATGCGCAGAAATCATAATTTACAAATGTTACTGGGTACATTCCATATTTGAAAAACACAAATATTGTCAATTTTTATGATTTAGTATTATCTTTTCTTTTCTTTTTTTTGGGCTCAAGGAGAGGTGCGTCATTTCCCCCTAATGGCCAGCCGCCACTGAATGATTAGCGTTTGGAACATACTGAATGGATCAGCAGGACGATTACATAAACCACTCCTTTAGTTTCAGATAATTAAAATTATATCTGAGACATTTTGCTAGCTCCATGTGAAAATTAATTTCATTTTTTGGAACAAGAGTTGCCGGGTTTCAGGGTAGATTATTCAAAACCGACAACCAAATTCCTCACTTTTCGATGTCCCCATAGTTACATATCTGAGCTACAGCAGCCTCTCCTGTCTTCCTTATATTCGTCCGGCATCTGGCAGTTTCCCTTCTTTTCAATCATTCTCAATACATCAATCAACTGCGTTCCAAAAATGTCAACTTCACATGAGCATCTGACCGTACCACATGTCCACAGTCCAAAGTAAGTGCCTCCTTGTTTGTTGGAGGTGCAATATAAGACCTGAGTCAGGCCTACCAAATGCACATAAATGGATAGCGTCTCTTGAAAGATTAGCATAGATGGTTGTCCTTTCCTTGGCCCATTAGCCTTTTTAGCAAAGAGATGACAAATATACCCTTGATGACCCAATTTCAAATTCATAAACAGACTCACATTATTTGGTTTGAGAGCCAAGCACCATCATGGAGCCGCTGGGAATTATCCCTCTTCTCAAAGCCTTGTTGGGAGCTTTTTGTACTCTCCTGTCACCTATTGTTTTTTACTGTTGTTTTCCACCCAACGAACCTTTAGTTCAGCTGATTGTGTGCTATTGCAGATCAGAGAGTTGTTGGAGGGCCTATTAATTTGGAACACGACGTTGTTTGGAAGGTGTGACCATTTGGAACAGGTTGATTTGGTTTGTCCTCGGAAGTTCTGCTTGCAGTGTTAACCGCTTCCTGCTCATTGACTCCAAGAAAGTGAAGAAGAGATTAGCTGTAACGCAGCGTCCTTCACAAAAGATGACCTGCACGGAGTGTTTTCTTGCTTTAAACATGATCTCATCCCTTCTCTGCATAGATTCGGGCTGCCTTTTAAGTAGTATCAGTGATGGTTGTAGCATGGCGGTTATGATCAGGCCAAAAAAATCCATATGTTTTGCATTTTAGAAAACATTACTATGGTCGCAATGTCATGTGACTCTGGTTTGGCATGTGGCAAACAATATAACATCATCAATAAAGATCTTTATCTTTTGTTTTTTACGCAGGACACAAACTCCGGTCCCCTGAGAAAGAGGTCTGTTGGTTTGGCCCGTAATCCACCACAGCTCCAGCCCAACATTAGAGGATTTATCCCTATTAATAGTATATCTGCTTAGGGTGAATATTCCTGTGTGTGTCATAGAGATGCTATAGGGTGCTTTGTGCATCAGTGTCAGGGGTGCGGGTGGAATGCAGGACTCAGATGCAGACTTCTCCGAAACAAAAGATTTTAATAGTCAAAAGGATCCAAAATCCAAAAGGCCAAGGGGCAAAAACACACAGGCATGAAACTACAGATTCCCACAACAAGAGACAAGAACATGCGTGGCGAAAGACAAGTGACGCGACAAGTGACACAAGAGACACACGGCTTAAATACACAAGGGAGGTGCAGGCGATTGGACATAGGTGGAAACTATTAAGACGATCACAGGGGATGACGGGACAAGGCAGGAAGTGAAGTTACCCGGGGACACGAGTGGCAGAAAACTACAAAATATAACATGAAGTGAACCACACCGTGACACATCAGTACCAAGAACTTGAGGGGCACTGACCAAGAATTGATATTAGTCGATTAGGACTTGAGAGCAGGCTGTTGCTTCATCGTTACCTCGATTACCTTTATCAACCCTCTGCAGATAGCTTCCCCCCACCAGATGACAGATATGGACAGACAGGCATCTATCACTATGTTGGTAGTCAGTGTTATAGTTGCTGCAAACACAACAACCTTCCGCTCTTGGGATGCTCACAAAACGAGTCCATCTTTGAAGAAAAACCATATTGGACAGATGAATGAACATGCATTTACTACATCTAGGCTACTTTATTTACCCATGGGTACCTGGATAGACGTTGTGTGAGATTCCAAGCTTCGCAAAACTCTGGTGGAGCTTTTCAGAAGGATAAAGACCTCCCAGTTTGTAGCCACAGAGCTCTTACCTCATTCTCTGTGGGTCTCATCTTCCACTGTTGTTAGCATCGGATCTTCGATTTGCAGAGCAGGGTTGCATTGCAGCGGATGCTATGGAACATTGTGCTGCTCCAAAGGTCTGTGCACATCCGTTATGTGTGAAATGTTGTTCCATGAACCACATCTGTGAGTTTCCACTGGGCCAGAAATTGCAGCAATAAGTCACCTATTTCTAGTCACTTAGCCTGAAAAGGAACACTTCAGTTGGCAGTAAGTGTGGACACATGTGCTCTTGACCCCAAGATGATTTATCAGCTTCTTTTTTTTTACCATTTAGAGTATGTTTTTCTGGCCTAGAAATGTGACTTGAGGAGAGTTATTACATTACAGGTCATTTAGCTGACGCTTTTATCCAAAGCCACTTATATTGCATTTTTAACCCATGGCTTTTTAAAATATTTTTTGCCGGGGGGGAAAAATGGAGTTAGGTGTCTTGCTCAGGGACACTTCAGCATGGGACATGAAGCAACCAGGGCTCGAACTGCCAACCTTGCGGTTCCGAGCGCACCCTCTTTAACCGTGTGCCACGTCGACCCCGTGAGTTAATCCAAAGCCTAAACAGTAGATGGAAGGAGAGGTTGTTCACTGGTATCTGACAGTTTCTGCTGGCTGACGTACATTAGCCACAGGTGGGACGGTACAACAAAGTTTGTCCTGTTTGACTATTGGTATTTGTTATTTGTAGAGTAATAAAACAAAAAAGAAAAGAAAAGTGAGAACAGAAAGCAAACAGAGAAGGAATAGGTATTTGTAGTTTATAAAACCAGATAAGGACCATCTATCTATAGGATCTCAAAGGCGCCCTATACATAGAACTTCCATACCCTTGTTTTTTTTATTCAACTTAGAGTTTTGGGTTTCTAATTGTGGCTGTCTAATGCTTGATGCTGAATAAATGAACTGTGCATATCATTACTTTTCTTTATTCTTTGAGCCGGATTACAAAAAAATGAAACACCTGATTTTCATGCAACTTGGCGCAGTTGTGTAGAATGGCCAAGCAAGAACCCTTCACATTTTGGACTAGATGTGAATGATTTTTCACTTATGCTTTCTGGTGGTGGATGTGTGGGTTGGAGAGGATGATGGAGGATAGACCTCAACCTTGCACTTCCAAAATGTAGCTTGTTTGCTTGTTGAACCGCAATGTCTCATTTTCTTTTTCCGCATAGAGAACATGCCGTGTGGTTGTAGAGGCCTTGACATCAAAGGCAACTTTGACAGAGCTGTGCTTACTCATTCAAGTGAAGAAGTGTTTCACGTCACTATTACTTTGGCTTGAGTTATTAGTAAAGTAATCCAATACCTTTGTGAATGAGTAATAGTAAACCGTAAATCATGAGTAATTTAAAAATTCCGCTAAACCTTTGGACCTTTTTTCTACAACGCAATCTCACAGTACAAAGTCAGACCCCGGGGACTCCATGCCAAATTACAGGGAAGATGCTCTGTCCATCAGGTCGACTTTTAAGGGAAAATACCAGTGTACTGGTTTCATCCTGTGGATGGTATACGCGGGTGGTGTATTCAGTGACAAAAACAGTACAAATATAAATGATAAAGTAAATAAATTATATCAATGAAATACAGTGGAAATACACGAGTTATTGAATATGAACCTCCCTCTCCTCTTCCTTACCTCATGTGAAATGAACCAATGGCCTGCCAGCTGCTGGCCAAACCTCCCGTCACTCATTAACTTCGTCCACTCACACGACCTTTACTGCCAACGTGTCTGCTGATGGCCTGATCATGTGTTTCCCAACGTTTCATTCACATTGTCCCCCCCACGCTCCCATTGCATTCGTTAGTTGTGTCATGCAGTGACTTGTAATGATTGACTTATTAGGGGTTATTGTCTAAGAACAGGTTGGTCAAGGACACAGCGACATGGAGTCAATGAGAGATATGCTAAATCACAAGTCTTTCCAAAGACTTTTAAAGGGATTATATCATGTATATCTTCTAGGAATCATACTCCATCCTCCATCCCATTACAGCAGAGTTCTTTATTTTAAATAAAGAGTAAAGAATATTGACAAACCGTAACATTTCACTACAGTTGATACTTTGTTTCCTACCATACGGTCATGTCTAAGGAGCAGTGGAAAAGGTGAAAAGTCTTTGGTGACATACAGATTTTAACAAGATAACTTAAATACATAACTTTCTTTAAATAGTTTGACTGAATATTTATATATATATATAAATGTTTATTAACAGGTGCATATGACGTTCACAGTCATCCTGATGCCACACGAGTGCACTGATATCTGAAACACATTGGCAGAATATCTCAAATGCAACATTTACAAGAGCAACCTTGTACAACTTTCAAAAATGCATCACAATGAGGGGAGTTTCAGGGAAAATGCATTAAAGTGCTTTCCTGTGACCCTCGAGGAAAAAATCAGCCGAGAGAAAGCTACCAAGATTGACCTAGTTCAACACTATCTTACAAAACTAACAGAGACATTCTACACTCATTCCTCTTTGCAACAGAGAGACATTCAAAAGGGAAAACGGTGTTTCTATAGGGAGGTATTTGTGGTTGTGCACAGTTACACACAGTGCACACAACAAGGTATGACGCAACTAGTGACGTCACAAACTTACACTGCGTAGAAAATAAAAAAACACAGGAACACAATGGTGCAGAGCACAGATCAAAAACAGGAGATTAGTGGCTGATAGGCAACGTACAGCAGCTCAACACATTTGCACACACACGTAGAGTGTGTATGAAATAGAACACTATTAAAAAAACAGACAGATTTGAAAAGCGCTTTAGCGATCCGTCACAAGACATTGATTTTCTCTGTTACAGCAGAGAGAATCGCATGTTTGACCTCAGCAAGCCTTTGAACAGATTAGATTTAAGACCAAGGAACCACTGATTATCACCCTGTGACCCCACGAGGTGAGAAGAGAGCCGACAAAAGAAAGACACTCGAGTAAAACCAAAAGACACAGATTACGATAAAAAAAGGACACAATATTATATGATGTAGGTGATATGTAAAGTCGTTCAGTTTGTCAAGTATTGCCAGGTATTTGGTGAGTATATAACTAATGCACTTAAGGAATTGCCAACTTTCATGCAAAGCACCAGATGTGGCCATCTAAATGACTGTCTTCCTACCACAAAACACCACATAGTTTTTTAAAACTATGAAAATAATATGTCATATAATTACATTCCTCACCCAAAAATGTGGCCTTTAGACAAAGGTTGCGTAAAATGTAAGCATGCTGACGAGTAGAGCTTGAGCTCAGTTATTCTCAGTCCCAGATTTCAGAGCCGAGGCAAATATAGAGAGGAGGGAATGTCAGGGTGTGTATTTTTCCCTGCGTTTTGCCATTTTGTGTATATGTTTGTAATTGGGCACTTGGGGATTTTGGTCCCTGTGGTGTCCCATAAGATATCCGCAGTGTAACAGTCGTCTCAGGAGTTTGTTTTTAACTCGTTGAACACACTACATGTGAACAGCAACAGGTAATCTGTCTTGTCGAGTACTGCCTGGAGGAAATGTGGAAAGAGATTACATATATATTTCTCTACTCTTCTGCAACATTATTGTTGTCTGTATTTTTAGAGACCTCTATCTCCTCCCCAATACAAATGGAGGTGAATGGGATTTTGTGAAAGCACTAGAAAATGTTATAACAAAATAATCAGCAGCAAAGAGGAAGGGAATCCATGTTACCCTCGAAAATCACCCTAAATATGATGCTAAGGGGATGCTATTTTTTTGGACAACTTAACCTTAAATGGCAATGTGTGTGCACATGTGTGGATGCCACATGCCTTGCTCTTTATATTCATGCATTGAGTTTGTAGACTATGGGAAACCCGGCCCATCCCCCCGCCATCTCCCCTCATTGAGTCGGTATGTATGCCTAAAGTGATTAGATCAGTTTCATTAAACAGCTGTCAACCCAAAGTCGTGACTTACAAGAGGATCTTATGAATCACGTGAAAAGGCTCGACCTCTCGCAGGGAAAATGTCAGCAGCGGCGGCTCCAAGGCTCATATTGCCACCTACTGTGCTGACCAACTGGCTCCTAAAATGCAACACTAAAACTGATCCTTTGGGACATTGAATGCTCTTCCACTGGGGTGTTACCCAAGAGCAGAGCTTGTTTGGACTGTAAACTGTGGTCCTGAAAAAAAACAACCCTGCTCCTGTAAAGTGGCACGTTCAACTCAATATTCTAGGGTTGTCAGCATTGTCTTATTTGTACTAAATATGCCATTGGGAAATGACCTGGGAATTCCAATGTTAATGAAAAGAGCGGGCAAAAAACTGGAAAGGTAAAAGGGTTCTTTGGGTCATTCGAGAGGTCTCTGGCAAGGCAATGGTTTTGAGTGCAGGTTGAAATCTAGATTAGAGGCTTAAAAGTTTGATCAATAAGCAGCGGAATAAGAACTGCCAGAAAGGTCAGTTGGCGGACAGGACCAGGTTACTGAACGGTGTTAAGGACAAGGCTTCATTCTAATATTAATAGGATTAAGACGTCAAAGTGAGGCCTTATTTTCAGTGTTCAGAAGTGAGAACCAAAAATACTTTAACGAGATTTGAATGTTCTTAAAAAGGCAGAGGTTCTCAGGGTGGTTGGCTAACTCATAAAGGGGGTTTCAGTGATTCCGTTGAATTAGCATCAATCAGCAGAAAGAAGTTTGAGCACAACAGACTTTTATGGGATAAATAAAGGTTATGGACTAAATCTAACCAATAAAACAAATACCAAAAATATATTAAGAGATAAATAAATAGAGACATAGATAGACTTGCTGTGGCTATATTGGGGTATCAACAGTGTCATCCATAACTATGGGGGCTCCTAGGGTTGATGGGGGATGAGTCCTCTCTGCCGTTCTGGCCAACGAGCTGATAAAGCCGGTGGCTGAGGTTCTGCACTTGGCAGGTTCCAAGGACGCAACCCACTCTCATCAGCTGGGCATGCTGGGGATAGTGGTGACCCTTACGCGATCCAGAATGGGCATGGCGACGAACTCTTGGCCCCCTCAGCTCGATTTGTGAAGTCCCAACCGGACGCGCCCACGCTAGCATTGGTGAGGCTGCTCTCACTCCTGAAGCTGGTTGTTGTCTCAGAAAACCGGCGAGCCATTTTGGGGGATGTCTGGGTGCCAAAGAGGGCATGGCAATGTGAGCCTGGCTTCCTGACACCGAGGCCTTATCCTCTCTCTGGTTGATGAGCTTGTTGAGGAGGTCCAGCCTGAGGAGAAGACAGAAATACAGTGAAAATGTGTCCTGGAGCTATGTAATAATATGTTTCAACATAGGCGAGGTTCTGCGGCCTGGTCGAATGAGGCCTAATTGATCTTTTGCTGAGCCCAGCCTCCAGCTGCAACTCTGCCAAGCTGTTAGGGCAACCATGGAGCACACACTGCACCCCTTGAAAAAATGTTATCTAATGTCAGAGAAAAAAAAACAATGGAAAAAGAAAAATCTAGAACCAAAGCATACTGATCTAAGTAAACATCACCACATTGCCTTATGATCCAGACAGAAGTCAATGAATGAGTCCCTTGCGTGCCTTTTCACACCTCCTTGCATGCTTGCGTGCGTCGACCCATTTTTCTAGGCTTGGTCTGCTAACTACATCCTTTACGGAGTCTCACATTTCCGTTTTCATAGCACAATACCGCTATTAATAAAATGAAGAATGTTTACGAAAGAACGGATCAGATTGAAGGACTTTTGACGGAAGAAATGCGTAAATATGACCGCTTATACAAGCCGTCATTGGCGGGTTGTAAAAGCAGGTTGGATTCACGGAGGGAGATCGCCACAAACGCCAGTTTGCCGGTCGAGAGGTGCACAAAGTTGTGGAGGAAAATACGGGACAAATGTGTGCGCGATAAAAAGCAGCAGTGGCGATGCACGAGGCAATAAAGTCTATGATGAATAAATGAACAAATAAATAAATAGACGTGACTCTCTAGGTCGTCTTCAACAAAAACACGTTACTCCCGCGTGTTGTTCTGGAGGTGAATTGCTCTGCAACACACGCAAGACTTTTAGAACCATGAATTGAAACGAGTGCGGTGCGTAAAGACGCAGAAGCATGCGGCAGCCTTTAGAGGGGCAGGGCAGAGGAAAGGGTTAATTCCTCATGTCGACTGCCATGCTAGCGGCTGTGTACTGTGGCTGCGTGCTCAAATGTCAAACATTTGTAGCTAATGTGGTTCATAAAAATACAAATGAACATCTGTGTGTCAATCATTTATGCTGTTATGGATAGAACATGATGATGGAATGGCCATAAGGGCACAGCTAATTCTGCAGAAGTGACCTACTCATTAGCCGTACTCAGCCGCTTTGATAAACAAATTGTTTCTGTCTGCAATCTGAACACAGCATGTCTTTCTGCACCGTCATCCACGTGGACAACATGCTCATCTCTTACTGTACAATGTCAATGAATTTGTTTTCTGTGTACGGTTTGCTTATTTTATTATAGAATCAAAACCGGCACCTTGCTGCATTAAAAGGCTCAGCTGGGTTTCAGCAAACAATAACTACTGGAGATTTGGTCTGGCCTGTCATTCTGATGGGCTCCAGAGGAGAACCTTCAAATGTTGTCCCCAGAAAATAAGATATCGTGCTCATGAATTGTTCAAACAGTATTGCTCAGTGCTTGAGCACAAAATTTCATTGTGTCCTCCACCGCCTTGCTTTAGGGACATAAATATCACTTCTTACAAAACTTGGAAAAACTGGACGAATAAAACCCCAAACTCTCATTTAACCTTTTTTTTAATATAGATTTGGTGGACAGACCCTGAACCAAAAAGAGGTTTTGCAGCGCGGTGGACCAGTGAGTACGGGTCATTTAACAGAAACAGCCCACCAACTGGCCATCTGTTCATTGTTTGACAAAGACAGAAGCTTATCACAACTTGACCCCGCAGCTCTTCGCTAAACTGTCCACGCTGTGTTTGTAGAGCACAGCGTGACTCAAGCCCCTGAATATTAACCCGCCGCCTCTGCTGAAAGTTAGGCCATGTAGAAAGGAAAGTGCTGTTATACCAGTAGATGAATAGAATGGAAATGTAAAAGCGGTGGTCATTGTTTTTTTTGAGTGAAAGGAAAACAATTTCCACTCTGTCAGGTTCGGCACTATTATTTCTATTTTTGGAGAGGCAGAAGCCATGATTTTTCTAAAAATGAATAAATGGTGACTTGTTATTTCCCCATGAACATTGAACACTGAGGGTGAGCGGTTTAAATATGAGAAATGCGAGCAGAGCAGCAAGTAATGATGTGGTTGGTTTGGGATGTTGAAATGTGAAGCTGGTGGTTTATTCAGCCTATTCAGCTGCTGGCAGGTCTGGTAGTCTGGAGGCGACCTGTCGTGCTACAGCAGCAGTGGCCAAATGAATAGTTCATTCCACAGATGGAGGCAAGCACTGCTTCTAGGACAGGCTTGCTGTGCCAGGGTGCCACATCATCAAGTCACACCCACCTGGCCTGCAGAGGGGGTGTTGCATTTGACTTCCCGTGAAAGCTATTTGCAGGGCAGCTGTGGTGGCAAATACCCTGTTCTGAGTGTACTTACTACAAGAAAGAACTCTATCCTTCTTTTATGTATTTTAGATACCAGAGGTCAAAAGTTAAAAGAGTTATATCAACTCCTATCTTTATAAGTTTACCTAAAGGGGCCGATATGGATCTACATCCCCCCAGTTGGTAAGGATGTGTTTTTTACTTTACTTGGCCCATTTATTTTCAGTTAAATGTTGCTTTAGTGGTGCATCACAATTGGAATGATATATATTACCACACAACGCACCTGGAACCCTCGGGCCCCAGAGGTTCTAAACTCTGTGGCAGTTGCCCACTTTGTCTGGTTGGTCATCCAGTCCTGTTGATGCAGTGGAGGTTAGGAATTGAACCTGTAGAGAACGGGCAGCTCCCACTTAGTATGAAAAGGGAAGGCAGCAGGGAGGTAATTTAAGCTTGCGTTATTTCTAAAGGCCATCAGGTTAATTGTACTATTTTTGCTGCTGTGTCACAATAGTGTCACAATAGGAAGTGACGACACATAAAATGGCCATGGCTGAAAAGTGATTTGTATCATTAGTATCAGTATTACAAATGAGTATTAGTATGTGGACGCCAAGGGGACTATGTCCACTTCTCCTATCCAGTCTATGCTGGACAACAGATTATAAAGCAAAGCTGTCCCTGTGGCACTGATGCATCAACCCGGTAAAGGTAGTGCACTTAGCTCATTGACTTTCTGAATATCTTAAACTAATGACGATAAGCACTAATACACGTTTGGGCCATGGCCACATCCCCATCTCTCATGACTAGAGATGATGCTGGGTCTCCCTAACAATCTAACACAAACCCTTTAACCCTCAGGTAAGATTGGATTTTACCCGCTTAATCAAGTCCAATTTGCCAAAAACAAGTTGACTTGTAAGCGCATCTGTAATGGCTGGCAGATGGCCACACGAACCCCATGACTGTGCTGCCACAACAATTACAATTAAGAATACTTAAGAATACTTCCTGGAAGAGTAAGATCATTTTGCTCTTTATATGTGTTTGTGTTTCCTAAGTGGTTGGTCTCTGGGGGTCTTTCTTTGAAGTTTAATATATTAGTATATATATGTTGAATTAAAACAAGTATTGCATCAGTAGTTTTTCTCTACAGGCAAACTTTAATTATCCTGATTTATGTTAATAAGTATGTGTGTTATGTTTATGTGTAATGAAGCGCAAAGCCAAGCTCCAGTTACATTGAGGTAGCATCAAGGAATCTTAGATAACTACGTCACATTTTATCTCACAAGACAGGCCAATTTAGCTATTATGGTTCTTCTCCCATAACCGACGTAATGGATCTACATGATTGGCAAGCTAATTTGACTTCAATTTCTCAGCCTTGCGTGGTCTAAGTTTAAGGTCTTAAAACGGAAATTCCTATTGACTGAAGATTATTTCTTTGGCCAATCCCCTTTGTGCTGCCTTGCCTGCTGGGTTTTTCTTTTTCATTAACCTTACAGCCTTGCTGACTGATGTTGATTGCAAGCCTCAGCTCCAGAGCCCTCGCTGTAGAGGGTAAGGCCCACTCCCTCTGACCCCAACCTCGGCCTGGCAGAGTGTAAACCACCCAAACTCCAACCGTAACTTGGCTGATGGAAAAAAAACCTGAACTGTAACCTGGACGTAAGTCTCCCTGCCCTTGCTCCTGACCCCTTGCCGTTATTGTTGGGTACGAATAGTTGTTTTACTTTTGTTGGAGGTTTCACAAGTGTCCAAACAAACACACTCGATAGCCGACCAGTGTGTGCAGTAGGCATGAACGCCAGATTAACGTCTGGCCCTCATAATTTTGGACTGTCAGACCAGGGAGACTGGCTCCTTAACCATAACTCCAACCGAACAAAAACTAAGCCGAGGAAAAGCCCTCCTCAACCCCAATGCCAGCACCATGCTGCTCAAAGGCCGACGCTCCCAAAGTACAGCAGGGAATTTAGCACATTCATTGCTAATCTCCCCAAAGTTAAAGTGGGAAGAATGTTATTAGCCTTAAGCAGGACAATAATTAAGGAGAGGTGATTCATTTCACAGGAAACAAAGTTTCTACTTGTGTGTGAGTGCTTTTATAATCTCCTGAACGTTATGGGATTTATTTTATGCTAGCTGGATACGGAGCATGCAGCAAGCAAACGACACGGTGAAAACTATGAGTCTCCTCTGAAACCAAATCATTGGGATTCAAGCGGATAATAACTACTATAAGCCCCTCCTCTTATGTACTGTTTTGTTAGCACATACATTCATGCCTCCACAGCGGTGTGGATTTCTGTGTGAAGCGGAAACCTGTTTTTTAAGGATGTTGGAGGGTGGAATTTAGGTCTTAGCCATTAATCCACAATGGAATTCTGGGCCTGCTTGGTTGCAGCTTTCACCCCCTGCAACTGCAGCCTGAGATTGACCCCCATGGAGCCATGCAACTGTTTACACCGTACATATATATAGGTAGTCCAAGCCAAAATTCCTGTTTACAAGACATACAAAAAGAGGCCTCTCATGAGCTGATTTAGAGCAGAGGCCATCCTGGTTTCAATCATTCCGAGAATGTATACACAATAAAAAGAGAGTAATGTTCATGCTGATTCTTGATAAAACTTAAACATGTCAGAATATATAGTAATATACCAGTGTTTCCACTACTATTATAACAGAAATATGCTTTATTTCTCCACGCAGTTCCACACTGACACGGTTATGTCGCCAATATGTCCGTGGGGCGCTCGCAGCAGCGGGGCAGAGAGCAGCCCCACCCCCTCCCGGTCGGCCGAACCATTTGCCCGACTTCTACCCCTCCCCTGAAGTTGTAAACCTTGGGAAAACACTGTATAAAGAGGTTCGACCCCAAGCTAACTGCTCATGCAGAGGGATTCAACAAACATCAACAAAGAAGGAAGCCCCCCTGCGAGAGGCACATTCAGTCTGTTTCTCAGGTAAATATTTAGTAGAGGGTTTCTGCGTTGGACCCCAGGCCTCTCAAATCCCCATTTAAAAGAATGGGTTAATGATTCAGCAAATCGTTTGTGGAGGAAAACATGTCTGTTTTTGGCCTTGACGAAACTTGAGCATCAACACAGACACAGACATATTTATCATAGCATTGCCCGGTCCGGACGGAACGGAAACAGAACAAATTAGCTTTGTATGTCCTTCGTCTTGGAATAAAGATCTGCTTTCCACTTCTGGAATCTGCAGTGTAAAGCCCCTTCGCCACTGAAGCCGCCTGGAACGCAGACACAAACATGAACTGGGAAGGAATGACAGACATCTGAGCTCGCGCATGGTATCACTGTCCGACGAGAAAGAGAAATATTTGTAGTCATGTTGTAATCATGCTGTCAGCATGTGATAGTAACAGAACAGGATGTGCTCTGTGGTCAAGAGAAGAGGGAGAATATACTGTCCTAATAAAAGCCAGACAGGACATTTATGGGAGATGTGCAAGGTGGGAAATGTTGAGGCCTGTCAGGCAGAAGTGACGGAGGAGGGAGATGTTTGTAGAGACCGGGATCACTCGGGGTCCCTATAAAAAATTGCATGACCCAACCACAGGGGTTCACTAACCAACACAGAAACCAGCGTTCACCCACGTATTTGGAAGGGATGGGGTTTCTCTCATAGAATTTTTTAATGATTTATGTACCTAAGGGAGGCGATTGAAGTATTTGCCAGCTACCATAGGTGCTTTTGACTTGGATGGGTGCACCATGGAGCAGCCAGTGGGGGATTGGTTTCTTGTCGCTGTATAAGTCATTTCTTCTCATTGGTCCAAGTAATAGGAAGACACTAGAACTTATCTTCAACCTCCCCTGAATGAGCAGTGACAAGAAGATAAAGTAGCCAGAATAGTCAAATAAAGATTAAATGTAAAAGAAACATCGGTAGACGAAATAAATACGCAACATTGAGACAATGGCAATGTTGGTTCCGCAGGCAAATTGGAATGGATTAATTACTGCATGTTCTGGTGTAGGATTGCAATTAACCAACATCTTCATTGTCAATTCACCTGCTAATTATTTTGTAGATGTAAGCCAAATGGTAATAATCCAAATGTATTCAGTTACATTAAGACAAAAACAGTAAAAGGCTATAAAGAGCAGTGAGCGATGAGTCATCAAAGCGTCGCAGCCCCATACTCGACAGTCAAATGAAACTTATAAGTCCCACTCAACTGCTGCATCACGTCCTTTCAGATTGAGGTATTTGAAACCGCCGCATCGAACCAGGCTGATGACAACAGTTTCAAGCAGAGGGAGTGATGGGGCCAAGAGAGCAGGGCAAGATACAAGAGCCACGCTGTACTTTTTTTTGATGAGCAACTTAAAGACACGCACACACACGTGCAAGAGGAATACGACACTCAGATCTACTTACGCTGTTATCTTATCAGTATTAGTTGTTAACTGTTGTACTTAAAATCCTTGCTTTTCATTTACGTTGACGTAGAACCCCAGATGTTTGCAGACCTTGTGGATGAGGGATCCACAGAAGATAAATGTGTATGATTTAGAATAACAGATACGTATTTGGAATATATTTTCTTACTGACCAACATTATTAAACACACACTCACGCACACACACACACACGCTCACTTTGAACCATCAGATGTGGATTCAGAATCCACCAGAAGGGGGCATTGACACACCAACTCATCTCCGTTCCTCACTGCTCCTCAGCAGGCGGACTGCCTCGCTGGCAGGCCTCCGCCACACATTCACACCGGCAGAGTGTGTGTCAGCCTGACACTTAAGGCGTGGAAAAGTACAGGTGCCACTCAGACAACAATATCCTTTTACAGAGGTCCATGCTGGTATTTCTTGCCCTGGCTGCCGGCTAACTGGTTTTCCCACCTTAGAATTACCAGTTTTTCTTAGAGATTCACAGGGAGATTAAACCGAACAAAACCTCTACAAACAGTTACTCGTTGAGATTAGAAGGTGGAGGTGAGGTGGAGATATCATCATTCAAATGTTTAGGAAAAAAAGATCTGTTAATAGAGATTGACTGCACCGGACGTGACATATTCCCCGTACCAGTTCAACGTAGGATTCAAGAGGCAATTTCATCTCAAATTCTAACCTGCATGACCTCATGAGCCAGTTACTTTAAACTTTAGCCTACTTTGTACTTTTCCAATATGGAGAGGGGTGGCCAGGTCTACTACAAGGCTATAAACATATATGTATCATTCTTCTAAATATTTTAAATACTGCATTGTCACCTATTCCACAGCTGACCTGCTCTCCGGCAGGTCTTATCTCGAGGAGACTGAACGTGTTTTATTATATCACGAGAGCCTTTGACCTTGCACTCCACAATATCTTCTATCGCAGCGCGGCACTTTCACTTTCAACACCCACTGAGCCCGATTGATTTATTACTGTGGGCCACAAGCCAAATTCTGCCTTTCAGTAGCCCGGTTAACCGAATGAACATAAGATAACCTGAAGATACTGAATATTTGAACAACGCCATGGTAAAAGAGTAGGGTAGACTAAAATAGTTTTGTTGTTTTATAAAACAGTTTCGTAGGTAACTGACGTATTTCAACTCATCAAAAGTGAATACTGCCAATATAGCTCACTAACACAAACAGGTCAATGTGGATAGAAAGTGCCCACTAATGCTTCAGGCAGATGGCCTTAATAAGTAGTAGCCCTCCCGACCCCCTTAAGGAACCGGGTGTCTCACCTGTTGTCGGGAGCGTCCTTTGCCGCCACAGCGAACGGCTGCTGGAGGGAAACCAGGCTGATGCAATACACAGCGAGCGGGAGAAGGGACGGCATCTCCGGGCCGGCGTTAACTCTGCGGGACGCAGGACACGACCACACGGACCGGGACCGGGCTACGGGTTAGTCCCACGGGGGGGGGGGGGGGGGTTGAGATGAGGTTTAAATGTGGGCCGGGGATAATGTAGATGAACCTATGGGAGAAAGCCGATGCATTCAATGAACAGCCAGGAGGAATGAAAGGAACCCATTGCATCATTTACATTTTAGAACCTTCACTCATTGAGAAGCTTTTCAAAACACACACTCTGTAAAAAAAACACATCACACTTTCATCGCAACGGCTTCTTTTACCACACCATCCGAAGGAAAAAAAACCCGCATCCACCAGAAGAAGAGTTTAAAATCTCTTGAAAATGTCCAAAAATGAAAACTCTATTATGCTATAACTCTGAAACAGCCCCTTACTTTGGTGAATACACGTAGTCATGACAAAAAGTAAACAGGAGCCTTACCCCTCTTGTTAGTCACTGCTCAGATGACTTAAAGTTTCCCCTCAATGAATCCAAACGCTGCTGGTCAAGATCAAGTTCTCCAGTGTGAAGCTGAGCGCCTGGTGACAATCAGGGTTTAAATAGCTGCCGAGGGGGCGGAGCTCGCTGCCTCGTGCCGGTGGGCAAAGGTGCTGCTGTAACATCATCATCTTCAACGCTCCAAACATCCGCAGTTCAGCACTTTGTGGAAAGTAAGGCTACCTATATTTGAACAAAAGGGATTACTTCTTGCATGAGATGTTCTAGAGATTCTATTAAGACGTTTTAAAGGCAAAGCGGATTGTAAAGCTGTGGAATCGTTCAAACGATAATATAAGATATGGTTTATGTTAATGAGCAAAAACAATAGAATACAAACATTAAAAATAAATAATACCGACTCCATTTCAAAATAGAACGCAATATCTAATAGTATGTAAATTAGGTCAAAATAAAATAGAAAAGGTACTGATAAACAAATTCAACGAATAAAGTGTATCTCGGGTGTACCGTAAAAACAGTGCTAAGCAGACAGAAATGTTATAGTGGCATAAGATCTCCGTAAATCAACTATTAAGCAGTGCAACATTAGAGGGCCTGTAGCAAGATATACATAAACATCTGTCAAGTACCATGTATTACGCTAAAGGTTCATTTCAAGTCATAATTAAGCAACACAGAAGTCCCCACAGAAATGTGGCTGATAGATTAGGATGCTAAGGTGGCTGCAACTAAATTATACTCAACATAAAGTACTTCACACTATCACAAATCACACATGCCGTCTTAGGAACAAAACCCCAATTTGTATGAAATTCTGAAGAATTTTTCCGACCAAGCCCTTCCCTATCTCTTATCGTCGCACTCAGCCAAGTGTGTGAGATAGATAGAGGAAAACCCAGGAATCCTCCCAGAATCACCAGAATTCTTCTATAAGTCACACCTATTCAAGCATCATTGAACTTCGTTTTCTTAACTGAATGCTTATGCACAGTTCATAGCTGCTGTCACCGCTGACTTAGCAGCTCATATACAGTACATCCACATAAATAATTAATCAGGAAGCAATTGCCATTAGTTGTGTTTTGTAAACCTGTTTCAGCGGAAATAAAGAACATGTGTCATCAAGTCTGAGCATGTTTTCCTTCTCCCTTTCATGACTCCTATGCAGCTTATTCCATCTCATTAGAGAGGATCGGTTTTAACAGTTTGTGAGCGCCCTCTTTCCTTTCTCACTCAATTGACTGGTGTGGTGACAGAATAGTGATACACCTGATCCTCTAATGTCTAACGCAAAATCAATTGTGTGCGGGGCGCTGACAGTTGGACGAGTTCGACTCTTCGGATGGAAGCCGCGCATCCGAGGGCAAAGGGGACAATAACAAGCCGGAGTCTCCGTGAGGAATGCAAGGACGGGATGCTTGTTATTTGTCGTTTCACTGATGTACAGAACCATTGGCCTCGTCTACATAAACACCAGTAGGCCTTCCACAGAAAACTGGACAAGTATGATGTAAAGGCATCCTCTTCCAATTTAGAACAGACAGACAACCTTCTGGAACAACAAATCATTGCGTCTGTAACATGATAGGAAAGAAGTTTTGACCTATTTCACATTACATCACATATACGTCCAATTGATCACAAATTGAAGATGGTTCTTTGTAAGACAATGTGGTCTAATGAAAAGTATGCAAGCATCTATATTTATGTTCATGCGACACACATTCTGGCACTCGTCGCCCTGAGTGACCCTTGGATAACTCCCTGTTCACGTGCACATTTTTAACCCTGGGTTATTCTAAGCCCAGAGATTTAGGATTCACACTACACTTCTTCTAGCCCCGTAAAAGCTTAAGTTAACAGCTCACTTAGCCACATGCCATCAGCTCGCTCAAAACAGTGCGCTGATGTTTACTTTTGCCTAATAAAAAGTGCATGGACATTTTTCATGTTCTCAGGGTACCTGGATACAGCTCAGGAAATGGGCTAAAAACAAAATCATTAGCATGGTGAGACCATATCGGATATATATATTAGGATTCTGTCTGTAAGTATCTTTAGAGTGGCGTCTTTTAAAGATCAAACAGGGGCTAAAACCTGAGAATTGACCGTCAGAGCGGAAGAAAAGTGATTTAGCTCATCAAAAGGATGAAACATCACAAATCGACGTTTGGCAACAACGACAAAATGCTGCCGATGTCGCATATTACACACAACTGTGTGTTCGCGGCCGATAAGCGATGGGCGTCACTGTGTGTGATCTCTGTCTTTGCTGGTAATGTGAAGCATTACTTGAGTGATATTCGTTCAGACAGATTGGACAGCGATAGTTGCCAACTTCTCGCCCCCCGATGCTGTCGCCCCGCGGCTCTGCTCTGCCCAGGCCTTCCTTTGATCGCCTCACGTAGTCCTTTGGTCGTCATAACACCATCAGAGTGAGTGCTGCGGCTTGACCTGCCGCTCACACATTAATCCAGTTTGGGGGCATTTAAAGACTCCCTGCTGAGCCAATTCAGGTCATGTTACCTTCGTTTTTTGTGCTCTTAAAAAATGAAATAAGGAAACGTTCACCGCCGTGTTGTCAGGTGTGGTTCTGACCTTGCTGACTAAAGTTAGGCTAAATTTTTTTTCCGCATTGCCGGAAACTGAAGTGGCACCTGTTGATACAGCTTTAATGACTCCATGATTCATGATGTACTTCCCAACACAGAGAGCTGACAGGAACTCGTTTATCACCCAGACTTTGCAGTGGAGGCAGGTCACTTCTCGCCCGATTCTGACTCGTTTATGTAAGCGTCCTCTGGCCTGTGACGGCGGCTCAGTGAATCAGTGCCTGCTGGGCTCTCAACGCGGGCAGCTTCTCGGGTTTGATCGCTCAGTCGCGCACTACTTTTACTTTTGTTTTAGGCGGCAATTAGCGAACATGAGAGGTTACTCTGTGAAGCGAGCCAATGCGGCACAGGGCGGTTTTAAAAAGAGGCTCCATCTTTGTCAAGTTTCGGTCAACTTAGTCAAATGATCAAAGAGCAGGCAACCTTCGCTTGATTGTGCGGCGTCCTCTGTCTTTGTTAATGTGAATCTTTGAACGGAGGAGACTGGGAAAACACGACAAATAATGCGCTCGTCTCATTAGGATTGATCAAAGATCAGCGCCGGCCTCAGGGAAGCAAACTCTCACTGCTGATGATGATGTGGCCTCGACGGGCGAGCTGCTAGCCACATACACACCAAGACCTTTCAAACAGACGTGTAGTGTTATGTATTAGTACTGTAGTACTATGTTTTTGAACAACAATGCAGTTCTATGACACCAGGGAAATATATTTATAATGCGTTTTAAAGTGCAATATAGAATGTCAGGAGACCTTGTCAAATAATCACATATCAAATGTGTTACGTTATAATTCTAAAGGGCCCGTACAAATAATTATGGTTTTATTTGTCCAGGTTTTGCTGTATCTGTTTCTCCAATTTCTCTACATATGATGTCAATTAAATGTAGTATTTGAAAGGTTGAGATAAGACCTCATGACAGCTTTTTCTTTACCACAGAAGAGCAGTTAAAAAGTTGGTATGGATACTTGGAGGTACAGTATACCGGCCCGTTCAGTACGTTAGGATGCAGTTGAAAGCTCATGGAGAGGCCAGTAAGTTGTTCCCCTGTTTACATGAAGATATGTTAATGCTGAATATTATGAATGTAAAATTTACCACAAAATAAATTATATTTGCCTCCAGTGTCACACCAACTTGATCTGCCTGGCTGGAATTAACTCCCTTTTTATTTACTATTTTGTTGAATCATACTTCTGTGACAGACAGCTTGAGCATGTGTAGAGATCTGTGTTTTGGGGAGGTCATCTGAAAGACGGCACATACAACACCTGCAGTTTTGACGAGGACTCGTGGGTCCTATGAAAGAACATTGTGTGGCTTTCTCCGGTGTATTAGTAAACCAGCTCATGTGTCTAAAGAACGCTTTATCCAAAGTGCTTGTTTTTTCTGTCCTGGTCCGGCTGAGAACAGCATGTTTGCTCAGGTGTCCACTTAAACAGTGCATGGCCCTAGTAGAGTGTTACCTCCATTATCCTTACTGTCCTGGGCTCTGTGTTCCTCCCTGTAGATTATTGAAGACCACATTTTGCATCAATATGTCTCCAGCAGATTTACCTGTTGTTTTGGATTATTTAGCTGTGATTCTGGAAAAATAGACCACGCCTTATAGGTACACATCCTCCACTTCTTCCTCCCTCCTTACGCAAAGAAGTGATACCGCCATCAATGATGGACAGACATTGCATTCCTCTTCAAGTCATATACAGTATTTAATATCCGTGTAATGCAAGTGCTGTACTTTGTTGAGTATTTTGTGAGTGAATCTGCCAACCTCTTCACAATGGGTCAGGTTTATTCCACCATTGTGGTAGTCTAATGATTGCTGCCCCCTAGTGAACCTCCTGTTACATCAACAGAGTTCATACTGTACAGCAGCTCCGGCTGACAGCGACTCTGTCATGATGCTTCCCATAAGGTTTAGCCTGAGTTAATCCCCCAATACATTAGAAATACCATTTATCATTTGGACAACAAAAACAAACATCACATCAGGGCCTTGTCTTGCGTTTTTAAGTTTTGCACATCACTGTTCAGTCCCCATTTGAGAATCAATCGGGAGACGTTTTCCCACTGTCGCGCCGTTGGCATCGTCTTGGCTGCTCCACCAAGCTTTATTTACACGGCTTGTTAGAGACGACGTTCAAACCATGGTTTGTTGTCTTTGTGCGAGCCTTCTCAGTGAAAGTTTGTTTGCCATGGCCGTTCACCAGTGCGGCGGTGTGTATGTGTGTGGGAGAAGGCAGCCAACAGGACAGCGCCCAGTCAGTTTTGTGCAGAAACGAGGGATCGGATTCCAGTGTGGGAAAGACGGAGCGAAGGCCAGGAGGTTCTGATTACGACGTAGCTCCCTGGAAATCGCTTTGCCTGATGAAAGAAAATGAGGGAGATCTATCAACGTCTCGTTTCCTCCGATGCATTTAAACAAGATACCATCTTCCTGTCTTCATGCAGTCTGCACTGCAGAAGGCCCGTAGATATATTGTATAGAAACCAATGGCTTTCTTCAAAATGTGGTGATCTTCACATTAACTTCACTGTCCCTATTGCAAAAACAGGGCGTGCTCTATACCAGTGGTTTCCAAACAGGTGGCCGGGCACCCTTAAGGGGAGAAAGGGGGGGCAACAGGGGGGTCACGGACCCTTACACACAGCCACGATGAGAGTAAAAACGAAAGCGAAACTGACATGAGTACTTGACATGTGTCGTGTTCCTTACCCTTCCAGAGTGGCTCAGGTTACGAGCCGACAAGCGCAGCAAAGAGGCTGAGAGAGAGAGAAAGAGAGAGCGAGAGAGAGAGAGAGAGAGAGAGAGAGAGAGAGAGAGAGAGAGAGAGAGGGAGAGATAGCTAGACGTGCAGCAGCAAAAGGCAGCAAAAAATACACGGTGCAAAATTGAAATAGTGCTTTAAAAAACTTCCCTATTAAAGGTGGATTTCTTCCAATTACTTCAATTTTAATATTTGGAGGAATTTATTTGAAAATATGTTGTAAATGTAATAAAACTAAAAGTAAAGCTATATGTACTGATTCGATAAATAAAATCCTTTTTTATGTTTTATATATTATAATGTAATTCATTCAAAACAAACAAGGAACAACACTATTTTCTTTTTTCTGTCCGGTTGGGAGTCTTCCAATGTCCCTATATCCTCAAAGGAGGTCCTGACGTTGGAAACCACTGCTCTATGCTAAGTTGCATTATGGGAAGTGTGAAATAAAGTTCAGGGCTTTATTTAACATTTTGCACATCTCTTTTTATCAATCTAGCTCTTACAAGCCACATAGTGAAAATACGAATAAAGATAAAAGATTTAAAAAAAAAAAGATTGATTAAATGACTGAATTATTAAATAAAGGATAGTTTCATCATCTTTCTTATTGGTTAAACAAGCAAGACAGTGCACTATTTTACTATTTAATGGCACAGGAGACATGACACATAATTGATACTACCCGTGGTTGCCTCCTCATTTGTTATGGGTAAAAACAAATTAGTAACAAATGTGGAGCTACGCCAGTTTACTGTAAACACATTGCAGAAATAGTGGAGGTCAAATTACTGCAGTGACATGTGAGACACGGGTTTGTATGTTGTATACAGTTACAGCAGAGCCGCCTGCATCTGTAGCTCAGTGAAATGAGACTATTAAATAAACAGCAGCATTGCTGTGGCTGTAAGCATCTGCTTCATCTCAGCTCTGGGGAATTAAATTAACAGGGCCACAACCTGCTCAATGAAGCATTTTCATGTGCTGCGCTTCACCTGAGCCGAAGGGAAGTCGGCAGCTGGAAAAGTCCTGTGAAGAACAGTGATGTGCAAGAGGCCTTCAAACCACTTCCTGTGAGTTGGTTAGTCTGCAGGAAATCACATGTTAGTCGCATCCTGCAGAGTGACTCGGTGCTCTGATGGGCGGCATGTTCGGAGAACACACCATCAGTCACAGACAGGCTGTCTTCATCTTCTTCACTATTAGAAATAAAAGGTTGCATCAATAATGATTATCGATTAGCAAAGGCAGTTGAATTGATAATACAAATAATCAAGTGGTTGTGCAAGGTATTCATCTATTGTTAGTGTTTAACTATATTTAAAAAATATTTGTATCACTCAGTCCTGACGTCAAACCCTCTTATCTGGGAGGAACTGAAACTGTTATCTATGCTTTCTGTAAAGCCAAAGGGACCCTTTGACAGAGACAAAAGAGTTACATTGCAGAACACAGTAGCTTCTGGTCTCCCGCGGCCTATATGGGTTAAGTTTCTGTGTTTTTTTAAAGGGTTCATTACGACTCAGTAAAGTTGCACTATAACACTCACTAACTAACCAATCGAGGCAGCGGTAGATTATCAAATCAAGGTAAAATTACTATTGAATGTCAGCAGTACATTGTGTATTTTATATGCTAATGATGCTGTCAGCTACATGCTGCAGGTAATACACTGACCGTGGATAATACTACAGATCAAAAGATTCTAACTTACTCTTTCAGTTGACTGAATTGCTCTCAACGGCTTTCTGTCTCTATGGCAACTTGTCAGTCGTTGTTTGAGAGCTATCGTCATCGATAAGAATCAAAACCACAGGAGGGACCTCAGTAGGACCTCAGAGGGAACGGAACAATTCGGTCGCTTGCTATCTCCTGTTAACACGTAGCTTTGGTGTTGGTGTTAATCAGAGAGACGCTCTCTCAGATAACTATGTGAGAAGAGATAGTAAGGCTAGCAAGGCAAGTAAGGCACTAACCGAGCTCTTGAAGAAAGATGTGGCATCTCATGCTCTGGATTGTTTTCAGCCAGAGAGTGATTACTTCAGGTCAGAAGTCACAGCGCAGGAAGTGTGCTGACAGCCAAGGACGGGCCACGCGGATGTTGGCCCTTAGGCCTCTCTTATATCCCTCTGACACGTCATCTGGCCCTCCAAAGTGATACCACAGCATCATGCCAAGGTTTTCTTGAGCCTTATTTGGCGTAATTCAAGTGTTTCAAAACTAAAAGTTCAACATTTTTCCAGTAATCGCTTTATTTTCCTCACAAGAGTGACAATTGTCTTAATCGTCTGACAAACAAGAGACAGAAATTGGAGTTGAAAAATGGTTTAGCAATGAAGACAATAAGATGGGTCCTTTGGTAAAGTAAGTGCTACAATTAAAACAGAATATATGAATGCTGAACCTTTCAAGACCCAACCACATCCTTCACCGGCCAAGTCAATAACACATGCACTCAAACACACCCGTTCATGAAATCATTTAGATTATAATCCTTGTCCAGTTGTAGGCTTTCACATTTTTCCACTGTGTTTGAAGTACTGGTTGAGAAGCAGAGAAAGAAAAAGTCTGATATAAAACCTACCGTCCAACTACAAAATCAGACTTTACTCATGTACAAATAATCATGACTTCAACGTCCAACAAAACAAATCAAAATCAAATCAAATCAAATCAAATCAAACCAAATCAAATCAAATCAAATCAAATCAAATCAAATCAAATCAAATCAAATCAATGACTTGCAGTGGAGCTTTTGGTAGACATGACCGCCCCTTTAATACAATCAGAGAGAGAAAAGGTTCAAACTGCACCTCAATAAAAGGCCGAGTTCAGTAGGTTCCATTAGAATAGTGTAATTTACACATTAAATGAAAAGAGCCAAACTCCTTTGGTGTTAACATTATTGAGACATTAATCCTTGTTTTATGTGCGTTCTGGTGTGGGCTCTTAAATGAAGATACAAAGCGAGACTATCTCAAGCATGACTTTGGACAAGCAATGAATTTGTGGGGTAATAATTATTTTTGTAGTTATCAACAGTATCTTCTACACGGGTACTCCGTGGCAAATGTAGCAAATCTGTAATACAACAATACAAAACAATTATAAAGCAATAATAGTTGACTTGGCTGTGACGGTGCTGCTGTGTTTCTTCTGGGATTTGGGTCAGACTTTCGGCCCCTGAGCATGTTTGGCTTCTCTCGATGGGGACATTCCTGCCGACTGCCCCTCCCTGGAAGTCCCTTACTGCGCAGACTCGCGACTCTGCGCTGTCAGGGCAAGGCAGACTGACAGTATGGCGGCGGGGTGCAGCTGGAAGGATGCTACTGTCGCCCGTGATGTGTCTATCGCCGGTAGGACGTAAATGGACAATTAGCGGAAAAAACAGAAGAGGATTTAGTGAGAAAGGCTTGTCGCCGTGATCTCCCAAGATGGCCAGGCTCGCCGACTACTATCTAGTGGTCACTTACGACCTCGACAAGCGAGGTGGGTACTTGAGTTAGCCTGCCCTGCTAGCTTTAGCGGCGTATTCTTAGCCGCGAGTAAACAGGAGGCGGGGACGGGACGGGTCGCAGTTCACAACTGACCGACAATAGATGCTACAGCTGTCAGTTTGCTCCAACTCTGTGCCGAGGACGCGCAGGCCTCCCGGGATTAGTGTACTTAAATGCTAGCCTGTCAGCGAGCATGCCGCGTTTCTGACGGAAGGACACGTTGAATGCTCAACACCCTTTGCAATGCTTAACTTCCAGGCGCACTTTAGCTTGAGAAAAATAAACAGTCCTATTCTTTTGACAGCAAACTTAAGCTAACTTTATGTGCTAAGAGCTAACGTTAGCCGGGTAGCTATGAGGGGGGCTGGCCGCTTGGTCGTCTGACCTAAAACGGATTTATTCACAGTCTTCCCCAGTTGTCAACAAATGTTACTACCGCAACCGTCACCTTTTAGAAGCACATTTTAAAACTGGACGTGGACTCCGGCGAGCAGCGGGGTGTCAGTGATGTGGCTGCAGGGTTCTGAGCGGCCACAGTCCGACCACGAAAATCCTGCTGATTTCCGCTTGGACTTTTATTTCAGGCGTGATGTTTCAACTGGAAATCGATGCTTCTCCTCGGCGGAGTTGCTGATTGTTTTCTTTGTCTTTGTTTTTGTGTGGATTAACCCAGACGGCTTTGCCCCTCCCTGAGCCCCCTCGGACCACAGCTCTGTTCCCTTGTGTTGTTGGGACGGGGTTTGGACCGTTATCTGAGCTCCCCCCCCTCCCTTCAGCCAGGGCCTTGGCCTAGATCTTTGCAGGATAACGGCGCGTTTAATCATGAAATATTCAACCCCCCCCCCCCCCCCCATTCCAATAGAAGCATGCAGCTTGTAACATCTTTTATATAGAGCGCCCATCATTTATTGAGAAGAAGCAAATTGTAACATGACAAGCCCACAGTGGCACAGTGTCTAAAAGCAGCAAGAGAAACGGCTTTCATCACTTTTGTCATTGCATGAACGCACTTATTACCTTGTGTTTTTTTTCATGGTGGTAAATACAGGATGTTATAACGTGGACACTGCAAACGCTGCAGAAAGGCTCCTTCCTGTTCTACCGTGCGCGAATGCAACCTAGTGCAGAAGGAGCCTGTAAAAAGCATCTGGGAAACAGACATTAAAGCCACACAGGCTTTAATGGATCATGGCTCCCATTCCTTGTGAAACCAAACACTCAAGGGTGACGATGGTTGTTGGCGTGGCCCCTCTACTGCCGCTTCCCTGTTTGCAGTAATGCTAGTAAACTGCGCTCGAGTTTCTAGGTGGAGGAATTGTCTTGACTCTCCAGAGGCTTGAGTTGATTTTGTTCCCATCATAAGCATCACCAGCCATTTTTAACCTGCTAAATTTATCCTCTTAAGTCAGATGGACAGTCTCGTCTACTGTGCACTTTTAGTTTTGTCCTCACTCATTATTGCCGAGATCCTAAAAGTGATGGAGAATGCTACGCACATTTGGGACGGTTTCTTACAGACCAGATCAGTGCCTGCTACAGCGTGACTGGTAGAAGTCTGGATTTGGGGTTAAACTCGCATTCTGATGCCCCGAAATTTCCACGTTTGCATGCATGTGTTCAAAAGTTTTGGATGATAGTTATCTATTTATTCTTTTATCCGTGTAATTACTGTAAAGTGAAACACTGTGAATCAAGATTAAATGCTCCTCGATCATAAGAATACCAGGAATTCCGAAGCACAGTGGAGTTTCCTCTTGTGTTTTGAATATTTCACACATCCTGTGTGTGTGTGTGTGTGTGTGTGTGTGAGTGTGAGTGTGTGAGAGGAGTTGCTGGTTACCTCTCAGTCAGTGGAATGTTTTGCGAGCGTGGGCATCAGCTCCTCTCAGCTGCCTCTTAGTCAATGACAGAAGCCCCGCAGGGAGAACTGCTTCTTACCTACTGGATGAAGCGTGTTGTCCTTGTTTCCTGTTAAAGAAACACTTGACAGCGTCGTTTGCTTAACAGATGATGACCTGCAGGCAGAGCCTTGAATCTTCCATTCCCCCTCTACATGTGCTCTTTCGAGGTGTCGGCCTGTTCACTCTGTGCTCAACCAAAGTTATACTATGAGCAGAGCTTTCTTTTTCTCAAGATGACTGATGGGGGCCGGCACAAGTCCATGAGGGTTTGGAATCAGTCCGTAGCTGTTGCAGTGGGGACCAGCTGGCAAGGGTCTTCTGGGTATGTCGGTGTGTTTTGAAAGTTGTTCCTGCGCTGGGCCACGTACCCAGCAGCAGCCCAGCGTGAATACCGCCGGAGGCCTAAACAGGAAGCTGTGGACAGGACCTGAGGGACAATCCAGATTGTCGCCCCTTTCATGTAAAGAAATCCAGAAAGGGGGCCTGTGTTTGTGTGTGAGGCAGTCTCATTCCAGACAGTGAAGAGACACGCTGGCTTGTATTAACAAAAAACACACACGCACAGACGGATGCTAAACACTCTTGACTGTGTTTGCGATCTGTCTTTCTCACACACACACACACACAGCTTGCAGGGAGAGTCCAATGAGGACACGAAGAGGTGTACCCACGGTGGACCGAGCATCCATTGTTATGTTTACAAATTTGAGGTTGTCTCTATTACCGCTGTACTGTTTTTTTCAAGACTTATGATGAATGAAACGTTTTTGGTTTAAGGTTGCTATGAATCCATACTAAATAAAACAGAAGCCACCATGCAGTGCGCTGCAGCCCTGGACTGGAACCTCCTTCTGTGTGGTGGTGGTTCTCCGTAAGCAGAATATGTTCCCATGTCACGTCTGGTGGCCAATGGAGTAGATGAAATGCCCCCTTTGAGATATATATATATATATATATATATCTCAATCTCAAAGGGGGCATTTCAGAATCAGTTATTCGTACATTTTATATATATATATATATATATATATATATATTCTCCAATATCTAGGCAAAGATGTTGAGTGGCTGCCCATATGAACACCTGGTCTTGAACAAAAACATATTTCTCAAAGAATGGTACAGAAAATCAATGTGGACAGTTGTACCCCCCTCCCTCTCCTCTTATCCTTATTTTGTTTTCTAGATTCTTGGTGTCACCCAGGGATAAGTAATGAAATCAACTGGTCACACGCTGATTCATGGATGGTTCCTTAATCCCAGAGGCCACGGTGTTGTGGATAACAGGGAATCTGGCACAACTACTGAACATTTATTGAAAGTGTTCTCTGGTGTTGAAGTGTCAGGTTGTGTCTTTGAGACAGGGCCGTGACTGTCTTGTGTCGCTCTTGCAGGTGCATTCATTGGTGCTTGAACGTGAGCGTACGCCTGCACGAGGGGGGAAGTAGAAACCTCTCAGATGGAAAGCGATTGAGCGAGCGGATTGTGTGTGATGCTGCCAGCAGTGCCTGCATGCGGGCAGCCACATCCTTCAGAGCGGGGCTGCAGCCTTTCAGGCCCTCCAGAAATAGCCCTCCCAATCTGCCTTTCACAAGGCGACAGAGCGCCGCCGGGCCGTGGCTACGGTGCACTGGTTGCTTGTGTGCATGAGTGTATGTGCTGTTTTGTGCGTGTTTGTTTGTTTGTTTGTTTGTGTGTGTGTGTGTGTGCGTGTGCGTGTGTGTGCGTGGGTGGGTGGGCGGGCTCTTCTCCCATTGGCTACTCAGATGGCTGCCTAGATGTTTGTGGCTGTCTGTATGTGTTTGCTTTGTTACCGTGGCAACTTCTACCCCACTGCAAGCTGCATCATTGTGGTTAGCGCTTGTCTCATATTGACCAGTTCGTCATGTTGCTGATTTCTTTGATGTGAAGGCCGTTTTCCTTTGTGCTGATATGAAGTCAATTTTAATTTGTGTGCTTTTCTACACAGTGAAAGAATATAACAATCAACACATATATTTTTTTTTTGTATGTCAGCATTTAGACAAAATTGGGTAACCACAACCCTCACTGTCTGGCCCCAAATCCAGAAAGCTATTTCATTGTAAGCAGCTCACAAAGGCAATTAAGCATTTTGTAAGACCTCAAAGATCTTGTGTATATCAGCCGTTTTGGTAGAAATCATTAATATGCCAGTCTGTACAGGAAGTAGTCAGGGAAGACTTCCAGCATATTCTTGTTGGGATGTTGCCCGTGTCCTTCTGTGTGCGTATGTGTGGATTTGTGTGTGTGTGTGTGTGTGTGTGTGTGTGAGAGAGAGAGAGAGAGAGTCTGTATTACAGCATTCTGCAGTAGTGCACAGCAGTCTGCTGTGCATGAATACTTGTTATTCATGAGGGAGACTGTGGCCCCAAGGCCCCAGACCTGCCCTCATTCTCTCATTTCTACCACAGATACAGAAGCGTGTGTTTCCGTGTGCTAGGGGATGGGATACAGACAGACAGACACACGCGCAGCCCATAGACTCTTCTTTACGCACACACAGGCCATAGACCAATTCTTTTAGGTGACATGTATTTTTCTGTCATAAACTGTATACTCAAATCCAAGTCTGTGTGGGACAACATTTTTTTGTGTGTGTGTGGCTAAGTAAATGAGATCTGGGGGGGCGGAGGCTTGGTCTTTTGCCCTACATTGAGATGCGAGATGCACGTTTAAAAATGAATTGCCACATAGTACATGAACCCATGCAATTGAAACATTTTCCACAGGTTGGCATTTTAAGGTGAAGATGTGATAGTGATAGTTGTGAGGGTGTGAATGGTTGTGCGCTTGTGCGTGTTGGATGGGGTGTTGGGGCTGCCCCGTTCCTTGGTGCTTTGATGGTTTCCCCGGTATTTAGAGAATGTCTCTGTCCCCTCTCAGGACAAAGGCCGAGTCAGTATGGCTCACAGTTATCCCGTTGGTGCTCTAGGGAGCAATCGCTCAAATCCCTGAGGGGGGATTCCAGCGCGTCCGGAGCAGTTTGGATCAGAAGATAGGGGGTCCTTTGGATTTGTGTAGCTGGTTATCTGAGGCTCACTTCAACAGTTGTGTTAGTGTCACGCTGCAG